AAAAAAAGAAAAACAAAATAATAGATTTATTCGCACTGAAGGAAAATCTGTGTCGAGCCAAGTATCATTTGCCGCTATGGGTCGATCAGTATATAGTTTGGCATGGCGTGATTGCCATACCAAATTACGTCTCTAGTATATTGGCCGAGGCCCGCGATGTTAGTATTAGGATGATCCCCACATTTTAGATAAAAAATTTCAGTGAGCCTTTTTATATAGTCGAGTATTGTCGGTACGTCAGTCTGTTTGTGTATGTATTTTGAAGAGTAGTAATGTCTAGTCAGTGGGCCCTTATTTTGTTAAATACTAGTCGTAGTGTCTTATTTTGTAATGTCTGTAGTTTCCGTAAGTTAGTTTTAGTTGTTGCGTTCCATGCTGGAGCGGCGTATGTCAGTAACGGTTGTACAAGTGTCAAGTAAAGTGCCCGCTTGTTCTTCACGCTTAGCGGGCTGTTGTGGTTCAAGAGAGGTCTCAGTAGATTCAACATCCCGTAAGCCTGTACAATTTTCGTATTGATATGTTTTGTGAAGCTGAGTCTATGGTCCAGGGTTCACAGTCCAATACTTTAATTTTGTCCAAGTCAGTCAGTCTAGTCGTGGCATTTCGGCTCTTTGTAAATAAAATTGCCTAAGTCTTTTGCGGATTGATTCTGATCTGCCATTTGTCAGTATATTTTGTTAGCTTGGTTATGTAGTCTGTAGCTTTGTAGTCAGTAGCGTAGGTGATCGTGATGATTTGTATATGGCTCGTACTTTGTTATCGTCTGTCTCAGTTCGTCAACGTTGTTTTTAAGTTCGTTGGAGTTAAAGTCCATTATGTGTAAGTCGCGCGTTTGATTTATGGAGATGCTGTTAAAAAGTTAAGTATTGTTGTGTATTTCTCGTTATATGTCATGTTGGTGTTTAGTGATTTTGTCAGTTTGTAAAGCTCACTGAAAATTTGTTTTACCTGTGGATCAGCAAACAGCATCCTGATCTCGCCCATAGCAGCAAAAAGTGTATTGAAATCTGGATCGGGCTGACTGCAGCCAGGCCGGGTTGGTGATTGCAATAGTGCAGTCCGGATCTGTGATGATGATGGTGCAGGCTAGACCATTGTTCGTGAAGACTGGATCATTGCTCTGTATGGTCACGATGAGATAGGGAGTTGAGGATACTCAGTTCTGACGTTGTGACTAGGGCTTACAATACCGGGATTCCGTAATCCCGAATACCGGGTTCCCGGACGATTTTGTCCGGTATTCAATACCGGTATTGATGCAAATAATTCCGGTATTACGGTATTACCAGTATTCTATCAAAAATTCAACTTACGCAAAACACATATCAAGTTTTAGTTTCCAAACTATGTATTGTGTATTGTCGACTCAGCTTGACTCAGCTGAGTGTGACACATCGGCAAGCGGTGTCGGCAAGATAAAGCGATTGTTTATATATTATGTGTGACAGCCAGCTAATAAAAGGGTTCATTTACAAAAGTTATTATGCGTTCACATGCCTCGTTCCTATATCGAATTCGCTATCAATGAATTTTAAATATAATATACAATCGATGAGATATAATTCTTTATTTATTATATATAAATCATTTTACATAAGTAAGAACGGCAGTTGTTTAAATTGCGTGTCGCTGACAACATATTGAGAATTTGTGAAGTGTATTGTTATGGCTCAACGCTTAATTAGTTAATATTAATAACTAATATAGTAGAAACACACCACGTAATGAATCATATTCTCAATTGTATTGCATTCAACATAAGAATAATCTTTTATCGATGAATTGCACACATCGCAGTAATTCCCGAGAAATCCGAACGGGTAATAACTTGACTTGCACTCACACATATAAAGAAATTCTATTGATCATATTCAAAATCAAGGGAATTCCCTTAAACTAAATAAAATGTTATATAAAGCCGAAATGTAACTTTAAGTAGGCAGTTATGTAAATTTCGTGTAGATAACATCTAATGTTGCGGGAAAATAAATGTTTATATGAAGAATAGTGTGTTTAATATTGTGTGAATATTGTGTTTAATTTGAACTTATGATATTTATAAGTGAGTATATAAACCAAAGTTAATTAAGTTAGTGTGTAATTAAAAAATATTAAAATAAATACTTCACCCGTGTGTGTGTGTGTTAAAAAAAACTACAAGTCTAGAACAAAAAATAAAAGATGAAATTACTTTTTTTGAAGAAAGAGGAATAAAAGGAACGAACCTACAAAATATGTATAATTTCTTAATTACAATTGTACCAACAAGTGTAGAATCGGAAAGAGCTTTTTCGGCGGCTGGTTATATTTGTAATAAAATTCGGTCCTCGCCTGATGATCAAACAATTGATTGTTTATGTTTCTTAAAATCATATTTTATTAAGCAAAACATTAGCCATGAATTATAATTTATTCTTTTCTTAAATGTATTATTAAATAATAAATTCTTATTTTAAATGTAGGATGTAAAATGTAACATAGAAAAATATATATTTTTTACTGACACGTTTTTTGTTTCTATCTACTTCTACTCCTTATGTAATAAATAAATAATATGTACTCATTTCAGGACAATATTTGTTAGATTTCATATATTATAGTAAGAAAAAATATAACTATTTAATTTTTCATCGACAATACCGGTATTAAAACCGGGATCCCGGAATTCCATTTTTCAAATATCGAATACCGGTATTCAGATTTTTGTACGGTATTGGAAGCCCTAGTTGTGACCATTGTTGGTAGCGTTTACAGCTGACGAGAAGCTCCTCGTCAGCGGCACTGGTGTTGGTGCTGGCCTATACGCTTGTCTACTCTTGAGAGCGTCACTTTCCTTCTTCTACTTGTACTTAATAAGAGCGCTGCATTTGGAGTAATTTGCCGGGTGTTCGCTTTTGCAATTGACACACATTGGTGCCTCATGAGGTAGTTATTGGCAAGCGCCTGGCGCGTGCACATTGAGGCACTTTATACACATGTACTTTAAGTCGCAGGTGTAAGAGGTATGGCCAAAATTGAGGCATTTGTGGCACTGCAGCGCTCTGTTCTGCGGTCTATAGGCTATCCAGGAGAAGATGTGATCACCAATGTTTGTTATCGACTTTAGCTCCGACATATTCTGGTCTTTATCGAGGAGAACAATGTATATAGGCAATTTCTGTTGACCACCATCTGAAGTTTTTCTCTTTATCTGCACTACTGGCCTGGCTTTTATCCCTTTCGATAGGAGATCTTCATGAACCTCTGTCTCTGCTATCGATGGATGTAGACCGGTTATAGTTATTTTCTTTGGTATTTCCTCTTTGATTGTGTAGGTATAAAATTGATAGTTGCAGTCCCTTAGCATTTCTTTGGTTTTCTCGTGTTCTTTAGCAGTGTCAGTGAAGATTTTGTGCAGTTTATTATTGAGGTATTGGCATTTAAAATTAATTTTAGATGTTCCTCGTAGATATACTCTTTCGGCGTGTTACCTTTCTGTAATCTTCACTCTCCCTATCTGTATCCATATCTGTACGGTCCGAGAGCGGATCATATTTATTTTTTAGTGCAGTACTTGTCTGCACATCCATCTTTTGATTTCTTGCCGAAATCTTAAATTTTTTCCCAGGCCCCTGCCCGGGAATTATTCTGCTTCTTGAAGGATTTTGCGCACTGATTTTAAAGTTTAATAAAAAATGATGTAAAAAGACTTTACAATTTTGAAAAAGAAAAAAAACTTTCTAATGGGTGCTTACTTCCTTCCCATTAGCAACCACAATCCGGGGTTTGGGAAGAAAAGTACGCAAAAGGCACGTTCACCTTTATAATTTTGACAGATATAACAAGATATATGTTAACTTGTAAGTATTAAGTCTGGTGCTTTTAAAAAAGCAAGATTTAAAATCAATTCCAGACTTAATACTTATTGCATAAAAATCGAATGAAATTCACTGAAAAAACAAATCTACTGAAATATTCAGGTACCTGTTCGTTTGATATGTATTATTTGTTGTGAAATAGTTGTTTAGTTTTTCACAATATAATTTATATTTACTCAAAGTCAAATGTTGGACCATTGTAATTTTTAATGTTTAATTTATGGTATGTAACTTAAAACTATTCTAGAAGCAGGTCAAAAGAAATTAATTTATTTTCTACCTCTTCTCGCAAAAATTTGAAAATTTTCTATGAGCTTAGTAGAGAGTATAATTTACAGTTATACACAAAATCCAGGACTCAAAAAGAATCTGAATCGAACGTAATCAGTATTCGATTAATTGAAGTTTGTAATGAATATAAGTCGAAAGACCAAAAAAACTTTGATTGGAATACCATGTTTTCAATAGAAATTGTATAAAACTCACAGTTTGATTGTATTAACAATAATATATGGACAAACATATATTGTTGATATAATTATATAATGTTGAACAAGTAGACTTTGACGTTTTATTGTTTTTATATTAGCTTATTGTCTATAGCATTCAAACAACACATCCTTACACATTTAAAGAAAAGTATTAATTTTTTGAGTCTCTAAAAATTGTTTAGAGATATTTAGCAAAACAACGTTTGCCGGGTCAGCTAGTATATATATATATATATATATATATATATATGTATAAGTATCATGAAACATTCATTCATTTGTTAAATTAATTAATTAACACATTGGTGAAAATAACACTATTTTTTACATTAAACGATAATCATTTACATTACATTAAAAAACATTTTTAGAGCACCATCAACTATGTTTTAACTTACGAGAACAAAAAAGTTATAGAACATTGTTGTATTGTATTTATGTATTTTTTATTTTCTTTGAGAATAAAATTAATTAAATTTATAATTAACGCCAAATTTTACTGAACTTGATTGATGTGGTCCGTAATATTATTATGGCAATAAAAATTTTTTAAAATGTTTGGAATTATATTTTACAAACCTTCATTAAAAATGACATAACTTGTAATAAATTAATATTTCATTAAAATATATATTCTTTTTCAATTACTTACTTGGCTATTGGGAAATGTGTTGAAAGCACTTTGTATCCGATGCAGTGTTGAATCCAACATCGTTTGGGAAACAGGTTTTCCGAGAGGATAAAAAAATCTTCGAAAGGTAAATACACAGAAATAAAATATCTAGCCAAATAAAATAATTAAATGTTGAAAATAACTATATACTTACTTGGGTATGAAAACATTTTTATTTTCTTTAATATGCCTTTGGAGAGTAGTGTGAGGTAATAGCGGTTTCGGTTGCACTTTAATCTGAAATTTAAAAAAATATTAAATTCGAAAATATCTTAACTACAGAAATGCTTGAACGAGGCGTATTATTTTCAAAAGCAAGGCGGAAAAATTACAAAACGATTGAACATTTAAAATGTATAACAAATGTGAATATTATAGAATATGAAATTTTAAAACTTTAGAAATATGTAAAATTTTTCAAATAGATGAAACTTCTTAAAAAAACTTTTTTTCTGTATTTTTTCAATTAGAAAAAAAAAAATTAATTACTTAACTTACTCTACTTTACAATTGCTCACATAGATAATTTACAGGTGAATAAATAACCAGAATAAGGTACTGAATTATATTTATCAATGATGCAATTTGAATATAACGATATATATATATATATATATATATATATATATATATATATATATATATATATGTTTATATATATTTTAGAGAGACTTTGTTGCAGAGATTGTCAGAAGATCATCCGAATGATAGTTGGATTCCTCACCATCAGTTTGGCTTCAGAAAAATCACTCTACAATTCAACAATGCAACAGAACGGTGTCTCGTATTCTTGAAGCCATGAATAGAAAGGAACACAGCGTAGCCGTATTCTTAGATGTCAGTCAGGCTTTTGATAAGGTTTGGCACTCAGGACTCCTATATAAAATCAAAACAACTTTTCCAAACTACTACAATATCTTAAGCTCATATTTGCTTAATAGAAAATTTAGAATCAAAATTAAAGATGTGACTTCGAGCATCAGAAATATAGAATGCGGGGTACCACAGGGCAGTGTGCTAAGCCCTGTACTTTATCTTCTTTTCACAAACGATATGCCCACAGATGATCTTCTAACCATATGCACTTACGCCGATGGCATTTTTTTTTTTTTTTTTTTATTTCTGTTAATTTAACAATCAGATTACAATACAATCTATAAGTTAAAAGTTATGGTATTGAAAATCAAAATCAAAAAGAAAAAAAAAATAGAATAAAGGAAATTAAAGAAAAGAAATAGAATAAATGAATGAATAAATAATAATTAAAATAATAGTATTAATAATAAAAACGATAATCAATAATAAATAATAATTAAAAATAACTTGTTTGAAAATTTTCCTGTGCGAAACAGGGAAATTATGTTGTTGACGGTAGATCACTGGGCCATTTTCTTTTCAGGCGTTTTAATTTTTCGGCTGTTTGTACTATTTGCATTTCCGGATTGACGTGTGCATCCAATTTGTTTTGAAAGATAAAACTTCTGTTCTTAATAACTTCCGCCACTGTTGGAATTTTTAGGTCTTTATGGATCATGTGGTTGGTCATAAACCACGGAGCCTTACAAATCATTCTCAGAGTTTTGTTTTGTACTCTCTGGATTATTTGAATGTTACTCTTGCTGGCGCAGCCCCATAGCTCTATCCCATAAGTCCATATTGGGATTATTATTGCTTTGTATAAGAGGAGTTTATTTTCTAGAGACAGTTTAGATGATCTTCTCATTAGCCAGTTTATTTCCTTCAGTTTCAAATCTATTTGTTTTTTTTTCTTTAAAATATGCGTTTTCCAATTTAGTTTACTGTCTAAATGTATTCCCAGGTATTTTACGGAATCCTGGTTTGGTATAATTGTCTTATTCAAATACAAGTCAGGACTTGTGTGACTTCTCAGTGAAATGATGAGGTGTTGAGATTTCTTAGCGTTAGTTTTTATGTTCCATTTATCTAGCCATAGTTCTATTTTCGCCAGGTAATTTTGAAGTAAAAAAGTAGCTGTTGTTACATCTTCATGACTTGAGGTTATAGCAATGTCATCAGCATAGGTGCTTATCGTTAATGTCGGATCGAGTGGCATATCACTGGTGTATAGCAAATATAGTATTGGGCTGAGAGCACTGCCTTGCGGAACACCGGAATGAATTGGTTTTGGAGGGGAGAGTTCTTCATTTTCTTTAATTTGAAAACGCCGATGACATAGCAATTATTTCATGCAATTCCGATATTAGAACAGCAACTTGTCAGTTACAAAATTATTTATCTAGTCTCGAAAAATGGTTTTTAGATTGGAATATCAAAATCAATATCGAAAAATCTCAGCACATAATTGTTTCTCTAAAACATCACAACAGTCCACCTATCATCATGAACAATTCAATAATTCCACTATGCAATTCTGTTAAATATTTAGGCATGCACATTGATTCGAAAATGACATGGAGAACGCACATTGAATATAAAAAGAAACAAATCCAACTGAAAATAAAAGATTTTTACTGGCTTTTTGGGAGGAAATCTGAAATCTCTCTCGATAACAAGGTTTTGTATAAAACTATCATAGTGCCCATTTGGACTTATGGAATCGAACTATGGGGTTGCTCATGCAAATCTAACATAAACATCATTCAAAGGTGCCAGAATAAAATTCTGCGTATCCTTACTAATGCGCCTTGGTATATTTCGAATTTTTGCCTACATAAGGATTTGAAAATCTCAACAGTCAACGAAATGATCAAGATTAGAAGTTCATCTTGCAACAACAAATTAATCCAGCATACAAATCCTACAATTCAAGCGATTCAGAGACCGATAAGAAGATTGAGCAAGAAATGGCCTTCCGATCTACCTAGCCCATTGTCTGCACGCGTCCTGACGTAGTACGCGGCATACATCATCACGTCATCGTTCATTTATGTTATTATTTTTGTATTACTGTTTTAATTTTATTTTTATTTTAACTTTTTTCATTTTATGTTCAATGTATTGCATTTTTTGTTTTTTTGTATTTTTTTTTGCTCATATCAATTTTGTAAATAAGACATTAAAGTCTTGATTAACAAAAATAAATTGTAACAAAAAAAAAAATGTTTATATATAATGTATTATTTATAAAAATAATAAAATATTATTATATCAATTCTTTTATATATTATAACAAACTCGTTTGACATATTGTGTCGATTTGAAACAAAACTAAATTATCCAATAGCAGCAATCCAAGTATGTTGGGCTCAAATAGGTAAACAAATGCTTCGTAATTTTGTCCAAAAATCAACTATGGAAATTTCGCGTCAAAATTATTTTTAAAAAGTTAAAAAAACAGTTAAATATTATATAAGTTTACTTAATGCGTCAACTATGGAGATCATACGAAATCTATTCATTAACCATGCACTTACTGCCCAAACAGCGCAAAATATCATGAAATTTGACTTAGAAGATTACAGATCTGTAATAGAAGTGTCATTAAGTGTCGCAGTATGCATCGGTATGTTAACTTTTGCTATTCGAGCATATTTCCATCGTAAAGTTGCAGTTTCTGATAAAAGCAAAGAAACACAAATCACAGCGAATGAAGAAATAGAAGAAGTACCCAGAAAATCACCACAAGATGAAGAAGAAGAAGAAGAAATAGCTCAACAATTTTTAGATGAAAACGTTGTACAGCAACTGACCATAGTACTTACCGATTACCAAGAATCCGATCTTGATGAAGATATAAATGATGAGGAAACTGAAGAAGATAAAACGGAAATGGATGTTCGTAGAATTGTCGACGCTATAGAAAAAATCAAGGAGCTAGATCCTGAGGTGCAACAGTTAGTTAATGAATTTGATAAAGAACAAGAAGCGAAAGATTTGCTGACAGATAAGGCAGAAGAAAACAAGGAAGGATCTCAAAATGAAATTCTGACTAAAGGTGAACCAGAGGAAGTAATAGAAGTAAGGCGCCAGGCAAGCTTGACAATGCGTAAACCTTATGTAGTATTCAAACAATCCGCTCCTCAAGCTCATGTAACACCCGACAAAAAGGCAACTCTCAAGCGTTCCACAAGCCAAGGAGGTCATAATACTACATCTGTACCTAGAAAAACTAGAACTAATTCTGGAACCAAAACTAAAGAACGTGTACCTGCTAATATTGATAGTTGTAAAGAATAATATATTTATGCATTATAATTTATTTCACGCAATTCATTTGGAATAAATATCTGCGGCGAACTTTTCTAACGTTGATTTTTGGTGAACTACTTTGACAAATAAATTTTATAAAATCAAATTTTGTTTCATTTTTACACTCTAGTATTCATTAAATTTATTGAACAAAATCTACCGAGCTAACATTGTAAATATGTATTTGCATATATATATATATATATATATATATATATATATATATTTATATTGATTGTTTCTTTTCGGAACAGTAAATCCAATAATAAAAAACAATTTGTTTTTTGAAGATGTTTAATACGATATTTATATATAAATATATAAAATATTTAGTAGTTAATTTGAAATTATAATAGAAATTATGAATTGTAATAAAGGATATGTATGTAAAAATAATCAGAATGTATAATTGAATTGAATGTTGTAAGAATTTGAAAAATATTTAGTAGTTAATTTGGAGTTATAATAAAAATTATGAATTGTAATAAATGATATGTATATAAGAATAATCAGAATGTATAAAGATTAGAGAATTAGAATTAAAAAAAATTGAATTACGAAAAGTTTAGAAGATGAAATGAAAAGTATAGTAGAAGAAGTAAGAAGAGTTTAGAAAATGGAATGAGAACACAGTGAAGGAAGAAAAGAAGAATGAAGATTAGTTGGAAAATATAAAGAATAGGATTTATAGGAAAAAATAGTAAATAAATTGAAAATTGTATAAAATATATGATTGTATAGAATAATGTAGGTGGCTAAATGCTCGAGTAAGCGAGGCCAATAATAAATGTAATGTATTAAAAATAAATAAAAAATTACATTAGCTTTAAGAGTTGTCTGTTCACACAATATTAATTATTTGAAATTTGTACTTAAATGCCAATATTTGTTGAATTGTAAGTAAGAAAAATGTGATGTCGACATGAGTATTGCAAAAAAGCAACTATGATATGGAAGAGAATAAAATATTGAATAATAGAAAAATAGTAGATTTTTACAAATGGCAGTTTTATAAATATTAACTCACTTACAATTTGTATTCAAATACTGATATTAGTTAAATTCAA